GTACATATTTCCTAGCGGTTATCCTAAAATAAGGTTAATGAGGTCATTAAGTAACTAAATTGTTAGATGGAGAATCTCTAGGTTAGGAGACATATGAAAGTATGTCATTAGAAAAATCAAGGTAAATAATGAGTGATTTTTTTTTGGTAGATTGTTCTAGGTTCAAGAACAATAAAAATTAAAGAGATGTAGGAAACATTGGTATTTGGGTTGGGGACAATAATGTTCTTAGAAAGTGATTCTATGCTTTTTTGCCTGATTAGGGTTAATGTTTTATAAAAAAATAATTAAACAGGATTTTCCAAAAAAAATTTTCCTATCTAGGGTGACGAATGACAAGTTACATAAGTGTCATCTAGAAAGTTATCTACACTAAAATGATGTTGACAATTATATTTATGTGACACGTGTCATTTATCTGTCACGAAAATAAATAAAAAAATTAAAAAGATTCAAAATTCATCAATGGTCAGGAAAGAAAGAAGACACGTGGTAAAATATGAGAGAGTTGGCTAGATCAGAGCCAATTGTCGTGTTGGTGTAGTTAGGGATGACACTCCTTTGATTGGTCCACGTGGCAATAGATTGAACAATTATGCAGAGCAACTTCTTTCCCTTTCCCTTTCTTCTCCATTAGTCTTCCCTCCAATTTCTTTTTCCCTTTCAATGCCAGAAAAAAAACAGCATAAATTTGGAAGTGGTTTGCTCAATTTGGTATCCAGTTTTGGTTGTGAAATCGTTTTTGTGAAAGGTAAACAAATAATAATAATTTAAATAATTTCAATTTAAATGTTATTTTTGTTTATATTGCATGTGTCTAACATTGAAATGTTGGTGTAGATGGTGACTAATGAGGAGACCAACACGGTGGTGTTTGACATCATAAGTAAAATACAAAGGAGGAGAGAAGGGATTTCTAAAGACGAGGCTTGACAGAGGAGGAGAGGCAGAGAAATGGAGAACATGTGGAAGAAAAGGGTTTTATGCATATGGCCTTTAGTTTCCCTCCTTCTTATTATTTTTGCTCATGCATAGGTAATATGAAGTTTTCCTAATTTAAAAAGTTAAAACTACCATTAGCTCAGGAAAAAGGCTAGGTATTACAAGGGTACAAAAATTACCCAAGTTTAATCATGAGAGCTCCAACTCCAAACTAAGGGGCCAACTTTTCAACCACTACATCACATTCATTGGTGTGTGCTAGATTTGCAATTTAAATCCAATTAAAAAACTTTTCTTGTTGTCATACTTAAGGGTTAAAAATTTTGAGACAATTTGTTAAAAAGAGTTGTAAATAATTCTAAGTATTAGAAATTCCTTTTTTCTTAAAAAATAAACATGCATTTAAAAATAAATTATTTTAATAATATAAAAACAAATATTTTTATTTCAAAACCTCTTAACTAAAAATCATAAAATTTGTAAAACAATTTAAAGTACTTTTAACAAAAAGGAGAATATTGTTTTTCACACACAAACATAGAGAGAGTAACAATCAGGATGTTATATCTTAGATTAGTGGGTTAGACCACATTAGTTATTAATTTTTTTTTTAAGATTTATATACTTTATTATATTTAGTAGGATTTTACTTACATTATGCTAGTAGGCTTGATCATATTAGTTATTAAGCCTTTTAAATTTTTATTTTTTATTATAAATATTCATTTAAATATCTTTTAAAAGGAAACTTTGATTTTGAATAAGAATTAAGGATTATTTCTTTAGAGAGTTTGTGTGCCTCTTAGGATTTTTGGAAAGAATCACTGCTTGAATCTTATTAAAGATTCCTCACATTCTTGTGACAATTATACATTATTCTTATCATTATCTATTCTTCATTTAATTAAGTTTGTAACACCTCTTTTTTTTATCTTTTTTGAGATTTTTTTGTTTTTGTTTTGTTTGAAATTTTCTTTTCATTTAGATTATCTCCTGTTCATAACTCGTGTTTTCACAAAATCTTTTTCAATGTTTCTTGATCCTAATATATTCTTAAAAATTTATTCTTCGTATCAATTTTGAAATGAAAAAAAAAAAGAATTTTGTAAAATAAGATATGTTCTTTCCATAATGTAAATTTGCTTACCTAATTGAAGAAACTCTAGAAAAGATCTCATTAATTCATGATTGACATTGTAAAAAGCTTAAATTGTTAGATATAATTATGGATAATACTTAAGACGAGAGAATTTTGCACTTGATTTTTGACATTGTTCACTATGACCTAACAAATCTATCTTCAAAGGTCTAAAGCATGCTCAATGAACTAAACCCTAATCTATCATCATCCATCCTTAATCCATCTTCATTCTTACAAAATCTCTAAATCAATAACCTTTATGGGTTCTTCCATCTTTAACAAAGACTCTAAATATGACCCTATAGTAATTCCTGAAATAGCCACAAATCTTCCACAAAATAATCACATTGAAACTGAAACTAGTGATAAGCAGTTCAAGACATTACCAATTGATTCACTAAATTTCATGTCATCGACATAGTTGTCATAAAAGTCAAAAAAGACTTGTGGTTCTAATTTCTAATTCCTTCTAAAAAAGAAACAAATTAAATGTATTGTTTCATCTCTCTCCTTCTACCATTTGTTAGTTCTAATGTAAAATGTCAAGCTTTGAAGTTTGCAATACAAAATATGGTTCCTTAATTAGTGTGGAGGAGAAATTTGGCTTAATTGATGACTTTTCAACGATGGCATATGATTATGATGACAAAAGATGTACTTCGAGTGTGGAGAGAAGGGGGATTAAGGATATAAAAAATCAATTTAAAATATGGATATTTTTATCTAAAAAATTGTGCACATAAAAAGCACATGAGACATTAATTATGAAATTAGACCTTTCAATAACGAAAGCAACTCATAGGTTGCAAATAGGTCTACATGATCAAATATCATGCAAATGGTATTATAGAAATATATAAGGCAGGCATGTTGGTGGCAAAGAGATATACCTAAATGAAAAGTGTAGATTTCTTCGATATCTAAAACAACTCATTACAAAGAATACTTTTCTTTATAAGCATCTTCATGAAAAGGTTTACATGACACTTCTTTTAGGCCTATAACCCTTATATCCAAACAAAGTTTGCAAACTAAACAAATATTTATATGAATTAAGACAAGCAAGTTGGCAACGGTATTTTAAGCTTATTGAAGCTTTGTTGTTCCTTGGATTTACTCAATCAATGATTGATTACTTTTTGATTGTCAAGAAAATTAATTCCGATTTTATTTGTTTGCTTGTTTATGTCATGGCATATTGTTAACTAGCAATTACAACATGTATGATATTTCTTTTGTTAACAAATTTTTAGATGCCAAGTCAAAATTAAGAACCTTAGAACACTAAACAACTTTCTTAGGCTAGAGGTGAGTCTATCCAAAAGAAGAGTTGTTGTAAATAAAAGGAAATATGCTATAGGATTATTTGAATAAGCTAGTTTATTAGCTATAAAATCAACTTTAACTTTTATGGATCCAAACATAAAGTTGTAGGCTACAATAAGATAGTTGCTCATAAACATTATAACTAATAGAAAGTTTATAGAAAATCTTTTTTCTTAGCCACCACTCATCCACAAATATCCTCTATGGTTCAACAATACAATTTACATCCAATCCTTTAGAGTCTCATTTACATGTGTCAATTAGATTTTAATGATTTATTAAATTGGCTCTAACATAGAGTTTGTTATTTTCTACTAACTTTGATGTGAAACTTAGAAGCTTTCCTAACCCTAATTAGACATGCTACCTTCATACAAGAAGATTAGTTATTAGATATTATGTCTTCATTGATTTATCCTTATTGTCTTAGAAGTCTAAAATTAAAAGTAAAATTGAAATTATGCTACTATCCGTTTGACATGTGAAATCCAATGGATACATTACTTACTACATTACTTGACAATTCTCATGTTAACTCTATCTTTGACAACCGTTCTACCATCTATACTATTAAAACTCAACTTTCTATGAAAGACTAAAAACATTGAAATTAATTATGTCATATAAAAAAAAATTTCAATTTGATGTCATTCATCTTTTGCAATTCTCTTTTTCACCTAGTTTGTAGACATTCTTACAAAAACTCTTTATCCTTCCAAGTTCCATTATATGATTTCTAATTCGAATATATATATATATATATATATATATATATATATATATTTTATCTTTTGTAACAAAATTGATACCTTATACATATATTTTATTTATAAGATCTTTTCTTAATTAGAATAAAACCTATTTCTTTTATTTCTTTATTAAAAATTTTCTATAATGCTTAATCATAACAAAGTTTACTATTTTTTTCCATTATTATGATTAATGAAAAATAAAAAAAATATTTTTTAAAGAATGATTTTATTAACGATAGCATATAAAATATGTTTTAAATATATAAAAGTGTTAAATTTTATTAAAAAATATTGTATTCATAATATAAAAAATATATTTTTAATAAAGATATAATTTATAATTAATATTAACAACCTTCTTAAAATAAAAATGTTTTTAAAGATTAAAATCATTTTTTTATTAGATAAAAACTTAGTTACAAAGTAACATTAACAATATTGACTCAGTCATTATTAACTATGTTATATAATGAAAGTTATATAACAATAAAGACCAAATTTCTAAACTGAATGAAAAAATTTAAAAGCTAAAACTAACTTTAAATATTTATGTGAATAAAAAATTTATTTAAACTGTAATTTTAGTACTAGATAAAGTTTAAACCCCATTCCTTATTTATCACATATTGTCTCTTATATAAATTTTATCAAATAAAAAGTTAAATATATATTTAATTCAGTTTATTTCAAAGACATAATTACTTATTCTTTTTCAACCTTTTGAAAAAACTTTCGATAAAAAAAGGTAATTGTTTTTCTAAAAAAGACAATTATTTTTTATTTTCCTAAAAAGTACATTGCTTTCATTTATCGCACAAAAGTAACGAAACGAGAACAGATTTAAGGGAAGAAGAGGAGATAGAAGAGGTAGTTTAGCTATGTTATCAACATCATCATATTCATATATTCTTTCATCTTCTTAGCCTCTTAGGTTAGGGTTCTTTCTCGCCTGCAATTTCATTCACCCACACCTCAATTCTATTCCTCACCGACACTGCACTCTTGTTTGATACGGTTCCACCCTCTTCGCTTATCTCCAAATTTTGCCCCCCATTCTCAACGCTTCTTATCCACACATTCTGGTCTTTTTTCTTCTTCTTTGAAACCCTATGACATAGATTTCTTTAATATTTGATTATCAAATTCGAAATGTCTATTAAACTCTTATAATTTTATGTAATTTGGCTTTTATTATAGTTTGTTGTTAATACTTTATTTTTATATATTTAACTCCATTGTTGAATAGGTCCAATTAATTGGTGGATTGGATAAAGAATAAATACACAAAATGGCCTTCGTAGCCCATCAACCGCAGGTACTTGGATTGTAATTTTATTTATTTGTTCACAATGTCTCCCGACGTAATGTGTTTACAATTTACTTTGGATTTTATCTTTCCACTGCTATTATGTTTTATTCTTGTTGTTAATCAAATTACTAGCTATAGTAATGGTAAAATGTCAAATGATGTGATTTATTATCGTTAAAGTTTAGTGTCCGTGTTTTATATGTACGCTCTAGCTTTTCATTGCAGAATGATGCCCTCAAAGTTTAGTTCTGTTGCAGTTTTTATATCTAAGTAGATTGTTAGTGTAGTAAAAGATGTTTCGTGGTGGTGAGGATTCAACTGTTGTATCAAATTTAATAATTGGAGCATCGAAGTTTCACCCATTAGTTTTGAAATATCCTGAATCAGAAGATCAAGATTTTATTGACAGCTGAAACTATATACATCTCTCTGTCTCTCTGGTTCACTAAGTGTTGTTAGATTTTGACTTATTGTCTTATTGTGTTTTTTACGGGGGTTTTTGTGTTATAAGATATTGTTTTGCTATCATAAATTTCCTTGTTCATATTTGTGGTGCTTGGGTGTATGAATTATGGATTTCATAGATGATTTGTTTTCTTTTCTCCAGGGCTTATATGTGACATCTTCCTCAAGGCGTTTGCCATGGAACAAAAGGATGAAGTTGAAGCAGTGTTTAACAAAACATCACATGATTGGAAGGACTGACTGGCAGTGCCTATTAAAGAGGAATATTTGTTTAAGGTGGAGACATGTTTGAGTCCTGGTGATGGAAATTAAATCTTTGTTGTATGGGTCACTTTAAGAAATTTACAACTAGATAATATACTGATAGAGGTGGCTGCCAATAAGAGGTGGCCCTATGATAAGAGTTAGCATAATCAAATTTACACCTAAATATGTTTACATTACTCTTGAAATAATGTTTGTCATCCTCAGATAGTTTTCTTCGGCTTGTAGAATTGGGGGTTCATATTGTGCAAAGAAAATGATTTTTGAAGAGATAAAAAACAAATCTGTGCTTGTAAACATTATTTACCCCGAATGTTTGATGCGTTGCCTTTGTATATTCTCTTTTTGTTTCTGATACCAATATTAAATTTCGTATTTATTGATTTCAATATAAATTCATATTTTTTATTCAATATTTTATCTTTTTGTTAGTTGGCCACCTTTGTGATTGTTCCACAGCCAGAAACATACATGAATTAAATGCAAATGACCTTTTATTTCTGCTCTCTCAAAGAGTTTATTGTTTCCAGTGTAGGGCCTCCATGCTTTTGTGTATCGAAGCTCAGACCTCTGAGGATTTCAGGCTTCAAAGGCAGCACCCAAAATGATGATTCTGGAGTTAGGGCTAATCGATTGAAGGCACCTAAGACCTCTGTTAGAATAGGAGAGAGTGAGGAAGCTCATAATGTACCAGTCTCTTATGCATCTGAAACAAATGATAGCCTTGCACCATCATCTGCGATTCATAGACTTTTCAAAAAATGGTTGACATTGTTACGAACACAACCATCAAGCCAAGAGGTGGAGGAAATTTTTGGAGAACCCACCTCAGAGATTTTACCAGGAACTGTACAAGGGACTCAAATTAAGGAAAGAGCCAAAGTTTTGAAAGTGGCATGGTCCCATTTTCTGGCCCTAGATGCAACAATAAAGATTCCTTTGTTAATATTGTAAGTATGATGGTTTTTTCCCTCTCTTAATGTTATGCAATCTCTGTGAAAGGAGGATGTGTGTGGATTTTTTATTGTACCACATTCATGTTATGTTATTATTGTCTTCAAGTTAATTTGTTATCTGATTGTCACATTTAATTTCATCATGCACAACTTCGATGTCTTGATTGAAGCAAACTTTAGGTTGGAATTTATGGAGAAAATGAATGAACAAGGATGTGTAACATGCTTGCTTCTTAGTCAATATTGTATGTAACTAGGTTCTGGATCATTCTTCAACTTTCTTCTCATTTAAAACAGCATTGATTGACAGCAATGCTTTTGCGTGTGTTCTAATTCTATCTTTTCTCTGCAGTGTTCCTTTCTATCTGGCTGTTAATGTGAAATATGGTGCTGAAGTTTCCAAGGAGTTAACTCCTTTATGGGTTTTGGGGCCACTAATTGTGGCTATCTACATCATGATAATCCGTGGAGTGTGTGCACTCTATGCCTTCAGCTTCAAACAGACTGTCAAATTACTTAAGAATTCACCCTCTTATTGCATATTGGCCTTCAACTACATTTTCCGTGGCAAGCTGAAAGAAGATATTGCAACTCTTGCTTTGCAGCCTATATTGAGTGTAAAAAATAGAGATTATAAACAGCTAACAAGAAGAAAGTTGAAAGAATTGCAACAATGGATAGTGGAGATGTATCTTGATTTTGTGGAATCAATATGGCCCTATTATTGTCGGACAGTCAGATTTTTGAAGAGGGCTAATCTTATTTAGGTTTGAAAATTGAAAATATTCTTGAGGGTAATCTCCATATAGGTTAAATAGGAATGATGGAGATGATATTCTGTAGTGTTGAGATTTTCGAATGCGAATCTGGCCAATCCCATTTTCTGTTGGGGTTTTGGTGTTTAGAGCTTGTTAATGGTATTGAGGAAGTTACTAATTCATGTTATATTAAAAACGTTACTTTATTCTTAGATTAGGCTGTAATTTTCTTATCATTGAATCGCTGCTTATGTTTCGATGTTCTATACTAATTTGATTCCATTCTACAACCGGTCATTTGGCAGCTTCTACTAATGGTAGATAATATAAAAAGTGTAACTGCCTGTGCTTGTTTGTTTACAAAATTTGTAACAGGGGAAACTACTGATGTGTAAACCATGTGGTTGAGCAAGCGATTGATTAGGCTACGCCGAGTGTTCGTACATTAACCACCAGAATAGCCAAAAGATGTTTTCAACATGGACACATTTTATGATGTGGGACTTATTTGTCCTATTGATTGTAACATTTTTCAGTTAGTATCCGGAGAAAATATATTGCTTGTAGAATGACCCGGCATATTGAGGGAAGAAAGCCCAGATAAAGTACTTTAACCTCCCTCGTTTAAGAATTTTTTGGAGATATTGATGGATTGTTAAAACAGCGGACACCCCATTGTGAACTAAGATGGTGAATCTGCTCCTTGCTACTCTATGATATTGCTTCTGGGAGGTGTTATAAGCTCCCTCTCCAGCGAATCCTCCAGGATAAAGTGAATAGATAAAAATAACTTCATTGCAGGATAAAGTAAAATGAGAGTGTGGAAGTATTTGAAAGTTTGATAAATCCCACAATCTGAAATCAGTTCTATTAAACGGAAATTTTGAAAGTTTTACTCGTACATTAAATTAATAATTGATGGTTTTCAGGTCATTTTACACATCACTAGAACCTCAGAAAAACTATGACCAGGAAATCCATTGGAAAAATTTACGGTTGAGGCCATGAGCATCTCCACTCATAAATTCCAGAATTCCTGGTACTAACGGCATGATTTGCGTTAATTTCTCTACAACAGCATATGCATTGATGCTTTCGCAAGGCCGCACATTACTTCAGTTGTTCTTCTTTACCACGTGTTTCCCATTGGGAATGTTGGCCTGTGTGTCTGCTGGTGGAGTTGATCCATTGCTGCCTTGGTCTTCAAAACCTACTACCGGATCAACATATGTCCTCAAACAAGTCAACCTAGACAAAAATTTCGAAGCACAGATTGATAACTGGAATGTTAGTGAATAAGTTTATGCCTATTAGGTTATTTTTCTTGTACTGATCTTTTTTTAGGAATAAGTATAGAGACTAACAACATTGAGTTAGTCATTCTTATTTGTAATTTTCTCTAACACGGAACATGCAAGATATTTTAGTTCATAGCTCTTGCTTACCTGCTTGCCTTTATAATTTCATCATCTATTGTTATTTGCTCATCAAACATGTTGCCTGCAAAAAATGATATTTACAGTCAATTAACAATGGATTTGGGTGGAGGTTAAAATTTATATTTCAACATATAAATAAAGATTTAAACTCATTATAAAAAGTTGGTATGAAATAATGCACGAAGTTCTCAATTTTTGTTTTCACCCAGCTTTCACATGCAAATGATCATAACAGCGGAGACTTATGGTAAACATTTCCAGCGCCAACACCACAAATGCTTCTCATCAAACAAGTTAGGGAGATTGGATTGGAATATTTATCTTTTCTTTATTCATAATGTAGGACTATTTTGTTTAGCATTTCACATGCAAATGATCATAACAACGGAGACTAATGGTAAACATTTCCAGCGCCAACACAACAAATGCTTCTCATCAAACAAGTTAGGGAGAGAAATGCTAAACAAAATAGTCCTACATTATGAATAAAGAAAAGATAAATATTCCAATCCAATTCCCTTAGATTTCATTTTACAACATCACAACAGTGTACAATTGTCATACAACGCTACAGTATTTCATCTCATTAGTTTAAAATTACATCAACTACACTTGTATTTTTATCCTTCACTAGTTTATATTCATTAAGATATTTAGAAAACATGAATACTTAACTTAAATAAAGATAATTAGGAAATAAGCACAAAAGCAATTGCTGTGGAAAATGTGCTCCAGAATTGTAATATATATGTTAATACCATAGTTAATAGCATAGTAACGCTGAAATCATACAGCACAACTTAATGCTATACGAGTGTGGGAACTGCTGCAAAATATTCACCAAGTTATGGACAATGGGGTCATGTGTAAATAAAAGAATCTATAATATCAGTATCCGGGAAAACAGGTGTAGAGTTATCTACATATCCATTTTCAAATGGCTAATGTTGCATACCTCCATAAGAGCTTTTTGTAGTGAAATATTTTGCCAACAAACGTTGAGTGTATTCAGCATCATATTTTCTGAACCTCTCAATGCACTGCGTGCTGTCCAGATGACTGTAAATTGTAAAATTTAGTGAATTACCTTAATCTGGACAGAGAACTTGCAGTTAATAGCACTTTCCATCAAAATAATTTAGATTTGTGTCCTTTAAAATATTAGGCACATTACCACAAAAATAAAATAAACAAGAAGGATTAAATCAGATAACAGAGGTAAATCAGGAAAATTTAACACTTTTGGAATAGCTTCCAAGGGAAGGCAGTGATTATGATATGCATATTGGGGAAACTACTGGATCTGTTACTGACAATGAAGACATATGACTAAAGAGCTCAAATGAGCATTGAATTTATTTACAAATATCCAAGGGAGATTCCACTCTGTGCACTATGAGATACTGAAATGGCACTAGTCTTCCTAAACCACCATGGTAAGGAGGAATTTGAATTGACTATATATGCAGGACAAGTAGAAAACAAAGGACAAGTAATAACTAGCTTATTTTAGTTTCAAAACCATACTCAATGGAGAGAAAACAGATTTAGCAATTATATGATGAAAAACCAACCAAGAAAAGTAACTAAATTTCATTACGTCTTAACCCCACATGCATCAAAGAATGTGACTAAGTTACAAGTTACAACCAAAATAGATGGTTGAATAGCAGTATGGTTACCCAAACAAATATCAAGAAGTTTTATGTTTCCAATTAAAATTACAGATTGCTCAGATAATGATAATAGGTTACAAGAGTTTTCATTCAGAAAATAAGAAAGAAATGAAGTATATACATGGGATGTTTTAATATGCAGATAACAGCAACAGTTCGAACACAAAGAACAATATTTTGGAGCTTAATCACTATATCAAAAATGGCTTTAAATACTTCTACCATTGATGACATCTGTTGCCAAATAATTTCTACTATCATGCTCCACTAAGGCTTGAACCTGAGGAACTGAAGCTCCAAGTGAGTGAATTTTACTCACAATATAAGTGTTTATATCTCATAGGAAGCACCTATAGCATGGCCATACTATGGGAATTAGGCTCACTCGAGTGGGGATTAGGTTCACATCTAAAGGATGTGGAAACACCTCATGGGTAACCACACTGGGAAATGTTGATGATCTTCTATGAGGAGGAAGAGAGGGTGAAAATTCAAGGCTCCTAAACTTGAGTACTCAACCAACAAGAACAACGCATAATCAAACTTGGAGCAATATGAAATATTCTCCCAAATTCCTTCTAAAATTTCCATGACTATTCTCATTTGCATGTTCTCACCCTCCCCAAGATTTATCTCTATTTTATCACAAATATGGATACATAGTCTGGAGCTTCCATGTTGTTCAATTTCATTATCCGAGGTGGTTGTGATTTATGCTGCTGTAAGCATCCATTCTACACACTCTAAGAAATTCAGCCAGAGGACGTTGTTTTCTGTTCAAGATCTCTAGAAAACTCAAAACTAATTTTTCTTAAGAAAAGTATTTTTATTGGTACACCAAATGAACAGTGTAATAACGGTAAAAGAGAAAAACAAAAAGGAACTTACTCAAGACCATTGCTACACTCAGGTTTTCCGTGATCATCCACCTAAAACAGAACAAAACCCTCGAATTAATTAGCAAAGAGGCTCGCATGAGTGAATTTGAAGAAGAAGAAGGGTAAGATGGTTGACCTGGTTCTTAGGTGAAGACACGCTTGCCATTTTGTTCTCCGCACCAAATTCAGCTTTGGATTTTCCCTTTTGGAATCGATTCGATAAAAGAACAAATGCGACGTTTTTGAGGTAATCTTGATTCCACCCTCCAACAAAGGGAATGCCCAATGGAGTAAAATAGCGATCTTTAGTTACATCTCTCATCCGCTAACACCAACACTTTACGAATCCTGATTTCTAATAAAAAGCGTTCCAACTTATCTTCAATTCAAATGTTTTCAACAACTATTATTTATTTATTTATTGTATTACGTGACTTCAATATTTTTTAAAATTTTTTATTTTAATGTAAATTTTGAATATTTTATAATTTGTTTTTAAATTTTATTTCTTTTATTTAAGGGTATGCTTATTTTGGTTATATATATATATATATATATATATATAATATTTAAAAATACTAAAAATGTCCATGATTTTGGAACCTTTGGAATTGTTTGAAGTTAGAAATTTAAAAATAAAAGAATTTTTTTCTCATAAAAATATTTAAATGTATTTTATTTCAGAAGAAATTAATATATCTTATAATTTATTCAATTTAATGTCGAGTTTTTTTTTTAAATACAAAATTTATGTGTTGTTGTTTAAGGGCTGGTTATCAATGAAAATTAGATTTTTTTTAAAAATTTATATTTAATATTATTACAAATTACTACGTAAAATTTTAATTTTTGATTAAATAAAAGTACCAACAATATGGAACTTGCACATAATTTTTGTTCTTATTTTTCCTCTTTTAAGATTTTTAGCACTATTAATAACTAGTTTTAATTTTTTTTACTAAGATAAAATTAAAATTTTGAGTAAACTTTCAAATATCTTTTTGTCTAGTTTACCACACTATTAATAAATTGATATACTAAACCTAGACTAAAATGTAGTAAAATAAAAGAAAAATAATAATATACCCTTAAATTAAAGATGGATATATGCTTCGCTCACTTTAAAAAAATAAGTATTGTTAGTTTCTTCTTGAATCGTAAGCACATGAGATTAAGGGTACCTTTAAAAGAATAACCTAATTAAGAACTTAAAGTTCCACTCTCCTTTTTTAACAGACAAAATTTATTGTATTTTTGTCTATTTTATTGTTATTGAACTCTTCAGAGTGATAAACAATTATAAATAACTTTTTTAAGAATATATTTTATTTATCTATAATTTTTAATTTGGAAGCTTATTTAAATATTTATTAATAAAATTTTGAAAACGGCTACTATTATTTGCTGAAAATACTTATTTTATTGTTTAAATTTTTTAAAATTTTAATATATGATTAAAGACATGCAATAAAATTTTATACACGGTAATTTTTTTATTAAAAATAATAAATTATTATAAAATGCAATATATTAATAATATTAAATGTTATAATTTTCAAAATAAAAAATAAAATTAGATGTAGATTATACCAAGAATCTCACCGAAAAATAAAAGAGTAAAAGAGTCAGATAAAATGTAATTTGTCAAAAAATTTATTAATATTATTAGATAAAAAACAATGGGAGTAAAAATAAAATGTTGGCCTAGCACCTCGACCTCGGTAACATAAACGAATTCAATCTTGTACCCAGAAACCTGAAACCTACGGGTGTGGCAGTGGCATACGTTGTAAGACTCACACTATGTGTTCGAGTTTGGGTATGAATGGTTGGGTTTGGGTGGAGTGAGTGTGATTAAGGCTCAGCTTGACCCTTCTACGTCACCACCTCGTTGCTTCATTCACTTTCTCTTATTATTGTTATGGCAAATACTAAATTCGGTTCCTCAATTTCTTGTTTAGTGCCTTCTCTTTCTTCTTCTCCTTTCCAACGCACAAGAGTTGCTCAGGTACTACTCACTCTTTCTTTATGACCCCCAAATCAATGAATGAATAAATAAATTGAGTTTTTTTTTAGATAAGAATCGTAGGATAGGGTTGTTGCTGAATTTTGCTTCATCAGAAGAAAGTTCTCTCCTTTCAATGCATTGTTAGGAAAAATCAGGTTGATGAATTATTCGTCTGTTTAGTTCAACAGAACTCTGGTCAAGTGAAAAAAAATTCTTCTTGTTTCGTTCACCCTTTGGCATTGTGAATATTGATACTAAAACCTTCATTCTTTTATTGCCTTGTAAGTGTAACACCCTTGTCAATTTTATTCAAACTATTACACCAATTCTATGTTTTGATGAGAAACTGATCAATATAAATTTGATAATTGGATCTTTTCTTAAAAATCAGGGAGATAAACTGATATCATGATCTTCGTATGAAGGATGTATGAAAGAAGGAGCTTGGTTTTTCGTTATTTACTCCAGTATTAGCTATGTATTTATCAGTAATTAATGGTGCAGTGAGCGTGTGAAGTATTTGTAACTACCAATGGTATGCTCTGCTAAAAAGGATATGTATTGCATTAGTTATAAGGTGGTTATAGGAGCTGGGCTGCGAGTTTAGTAGTTAGTTAAATCATGGCTAACTTGTTTCAAGTTTCCTGTGGTGATTAGTTGTTTTTGATTTAATTCTATTAAAATTAGAGTATGGTTGACACTGTTTAATTTTTATCTCAGTTAATTTTCACTATAAATAATTTGCGCTATTGATTAATGACTGGATATATTTTTTTATGAAAATTGACGATGATGAGGTCGTGGAACATGACATGTCTTAATCTATGCTTTTTCAGCTTTGCACATTTTTGCTAGATATTATTTTCTATTTGAGTAATACCATCACTTGGATGAAATCCATTTCATTATACTGTTATTCAAAATTGTTAACTGCTGTATCTTGAGTATTGCTTTAATTACTGTTACATGTTTTCTTTTCTTTTAATATTCAGTTGAGCTTATCACAAGGGTTGTTTGTCAACCAACTAACAGGTGCTCAGCTGCAAATATACACTAAAGGTAGCTTGCTTATTTATTGGTTGATTCCTGGAATTTCTGCATTCTGCATTAAGCATTCTACTGAATTGCCTTTTCTTCATGCTATAAAGTCATAACAATTTTGATATGAATGGTTCTTCCAAGCATATTTCTTGAATAAATTTGTTGTAGATGTAAATTGCAGCCCTCCCTTTAATTTTGGCCCATGTATGGATTAGACCTTAGGGATCTGGAAAGGTGCAAATGATTGCTGAACTTCACACTCTGTGAAAAAAGCTCTATTAAGAAAACCATTAATTATGGTACTATTGAAGATTGAAAAGCTGAAAGGATACTGCATTCTAGATTAGAACCACATTTGCCATTTCCTCACATTTGTTTGTTGTCATGTGACAATTCCATTATATGGTTAACAGTCTGCTTCGGGGAGGGTGTTTTTTGTACAAAGTGTAGTGTTCAAAGAGGCCATTTGTTTTGCACACTGCAGACCTCAAAGTGTAGTGTTCAAAGAGGCCATTTGTTTTGCACACTGCAGACCTTCTGGTCTAATCTGCAGATGGATCAAAGTTGAAGGGTGTGAACTGAATTTTGCTATATATTTTATATGAACTCCTCTGGATATGTCTCTGTTAACATTCTTTTGCATTGGTATCGTGATCAGACAAATCATGCCAGTTTAATTTTATACATGGAACGCCGAAGTTAAAGGGAAAGTTACAGAAACAGCATAATGCACTTTTTGTTGTCTCTGAGGATCAGTCACAATACAGTGATCTTGAAACAACTGCTTTGGTGTCAGAAAATAATGATACTATTGCGGAAGACATCCCTCCTGCAAGCAACTTATATTTTCATTTATCAGGGAGTGATGGAAAACCAGGTTTAATATCGTTTTATAACCGTCCATACAGAGGAGATAGTAAGATCCTTTTATCAAATTCAGAAAGAAGACAAAACAGCATATTGTGGTTTATGGGCCCTGCAGTCCTTGTTGCTTCCTTCATCTTTCCTTCACTTTATTTACGTAAAGTGCTTTCCATCATTTTTGAGGACTCTTTGTTAACTGGTAATTCCTTTGAAGAAAGACTCTCCAATGTGTTTGATTGTTATAGTATTTGATACTATATTGCTCTGCAGCAATTTGCATAACTTACTGTGTGTATGTGAAGTGTTTTTCATCACTTTGCTGTAGTTCATAGTAAGTTAGTGATATCTTCTTGAGTCAATATGGATAAGCATCTACTGATGAAAACAGAAGAGAAAAGGGGAATTAATGGTATTTGGTTTTGATGATAATTAATGATGCTAGGGAAAACATTTTAGATGTTCGGATATGGGATATGATGCTCATTGCTTGATTTGGAATTATTTGTATCTTGATAAAACAAATGGAAATAATCATTAGATGATTGGACAGAAATGGCCACTAAACTATACAGACATGTGATGGATGATAAATTTTTCAACTTCTATATCAATAATCAACAAGCGTTTACAAAAATTTGAAATTGGTATCGAAATTCAAGATGTTTGTTGAGTGGCAGGGAAAAAGAGTGTTTGTAGCTAACATAATTCTTGTTAATCACGAGCCGCAACATTGGTAGTTGTGAGATGATCCATCCTCAAACATTATAATGTTCAATTGCTTGCTTTAGCTCTTTTTTATTATTATCATCATTTCTTTCTTTCTTAGCTTTGAATTGTGCTTTCATCTCTGAACTCTTAAACTCTGAACTATTTTTCTCGTTGTCTGCAGATTTCCTCATATTATTTTTCACAGAAGCAATTTTCTATTGTGGTGTTGCGGTATTCCTTTTTATACTAGACCATTTAAGAAGACCCGTTCAACTGGATCCTGCTGCAAACAATAGTGAAAATTTGCCCCCTCAATTGGGGCAGAAAGTATCATCCGTTGCTACCCTGGTGCTTAGTCTAGTAATTCCAATGGTCACTATGGGTTTTGTCTGGCCATGGACGGGCCCTGCAGCCTCTGCAACTCTTGCTCCATACCTTGTGGGTATAGTTGTCCAATTTGCATTTGAGCAGTATGCCAAATATCGCAAGTCACCTTCATGGTCAGCTATTCCATTAATCTTTCAAGTAAGGGCAATCCATTACCCGTTTGATTAACTTTCTGTTTGTTGTCTTAATGGTAAAAGGAGTAAAGCAATTTATTTAGTTTTGCCTAATTTATAGTCCAAGTTTACATGTTGATTATCTGGGTTATAGAAAATTGCTGTTACATTTTAATTTAGTTTGTTCTCTGTCTTTCTGGATTGAATCAACTAAAATATTTCAAATATTCTTATGATCACCTTTCTTGATTTTGTTATTCATATAATAAACTAATACAAAGTGTTATTAACAGGTATATAGGTTGCACCAACTAAATAGAGCAGCGCAACTGGTGACAGCTTTATCATTTACAGTTAGAGGAGCTGAGGTGACCTCACATAACATGGCTATAAACAGCTCTTTGGGTACTCTTCTAAATGTCCTACAATTCCTTGGTGTGATTTGCATTTGGTCCTTGTCTAGCTTCCTTATGAGATTTATCCCTTATGCTTCCACAACTATGCAGTAAAGTAAAAAATTTCATGTAAAGTTTGTTAGCAATATCATCTCACACATCAAATCACCCCCCTCCCCCCAAGTTCATCTCCGTGCAGAATATGTAGATCTAATTGGGTTTATTTTTTTGTGGTGTAAAAACTGTTAAGTCTAATTGAAAATTTGGGCACTAATCCTCTGACTCATCTAGAATAAATGGTGGTTACAAGAATTTGTAATTGAGGGCTTTGGATACTGATGAAACAAATGTAGGAACATTTATGTTTCTACTTCTTTTAAAGGCATGTGTTTTGAATGAAGTACTTGTGTTCTCGAGTAAAAATATGTCATTTGCACAAAAAATAAAGAAAAAAGTGGGAATCAGACCACTAAATCATATATTAATATATACAGAAATGTGTCGAATTAATAGCTAACTAAAGCAGTGGAAGAAAAGAGCCCTTCACAAAATTTATATCGTGCTTGTCAATAAGGCTATGCTGTGTAAAGATGTTTGCTCATGAGTACTGTTGCCTTACATAGTTTACATTTATGTACAGTCGTTACTATTCTTTTGTATTAATGTGTACTGCTGTTATTATTCTATTGGATTACCATAAATAGGATAGAATCAGCCATTAATAGTATAGATTAGAATCACCTAATAATAGTCTAGAAATTCCTGTAATTTAGCTTAGATTTCAGCATAATATTCTTTGTACCTAGATTTATATATTGAATGAAAACTCAGGCAATATATATCTTTTGCCACTCTAAGTTTGATAAGTACGACTCTCTAAGATCTATGAAATAAGAGTATTAATTGAATGTCTCAATGATTTAGTTGATTAATTCTTATACCAAAAAGTATAGACCCCAGTATTATGCAGACGTTAAGCTTAACTTAAATTATGAAAGATATTTTTTTTATATATAAAATTGTCTCAAAATATATAAAAATAAAAATCATTCACTAGGACTTGTGTGCATTTGTTTGTCTTATCATAATCCGGTCTTTCTTTAAGCTTATTTCATAAAACTCATGCTTAATGGATAGATTCAAAAATGGTTTGTTTCTAAAACTCCCCCCCCAAAAAAAAAAAAAAAACCTCCCGAAACTAAACCAGAGTCAACAAATTATTGAAGAATCAATTGTACAAGGAAATTCAAGTTTGTTCTGGAGCAAATTTACGAAAAATTTTAACATTCTAAAATGTCTATGTGCGTACTTACGTATGCATGTGTCCAAGACTTATTTCTAGAGCATGTGAATTCCTTAATCTACTTATTCTATGAATAAATCTTGCAAATTTATCCCATTTGACAACTTTTACTGGAATATGAAATTGATAAATTCAACTGTGATATCATTTTAATGGCTATGTATATTAAATTTTAGATAAATTGTTAGCAAATACTTATATTTTGAAAAGTATAGTATATGCTAAAAATATAATCGAATAATGAAATATAAAATAATTATTAAAATTAAAAAAATTTATAAACTAACGAAAATACTCATTACAATAGTTGGGGTAGTAACATATTTATAATAAATGGAGTAAAGTAAGCAAGATTTGTTTGCCACACACAAATATCAGTTTCATTTAACTTAGGCCTTTTTGTTTTAAATAGTTACGAAGTTTTAGGGTGAGGATGAACTATTTATGAGCAGAAGAAACCACTCTGGCGAGGTAGTGGCATTACAATTTAGCTACTAATATGAATTTCGAATCCAAACAAAGCGATGCTTGAATGAAAAATTGACTAAATGAAAGCAACACTGATTAGCTTGCTACTGTAAATTCACATTATTGAAGCCATGATTATGTTAGGGAAATGAGTTTCCAATTTTTGTTTGAAAATAAAGTTTCACATTGATTAACAATCAAAGAAGAAAATATAAGTACAACTACCATAGGCATGTGGACAAAGTTATACTTCATGACTCATTAAAATACTAAAAACAACTTAAATATATTTTTCATTTCTATTTTTTTATATTTTTAATTTTAATTTCTTATAGTTCTGATACAGTCCAAAACTTTTGTATCGACCACAATGGAGCATTTTGATGCTAACATGTGGGTAACGATGGAGGTGATGGAGCACTCACCCGAAAAAAGAGAAAGCACTCGGCCACTAGGAGTCTACATTACTCAAGTGCAAGAATAAATTGGCAATTATATGACATTTACAAGATGGTTAGATCACCTTATTCGTTGAAGACACACGAGAAAAAAAAATTAAAACGCAAGTAAACTGCATGCTAAAAAAGACTAGATTTAAAACCAGCAAAATTGAGATGATGGTGAGGAATTTGATTAAATTACGTAAAATTATATGTCTTTTTAAAAAGACAATTGTTAAATTTTTTTTAACAAATATTATTTAAGGACAAATGTTAACTACTACTATTAAGATATTGGTGACACCAGTTAAAAAATAAAATTAATATTTTATTTAAAATATAATTGATAAACACGGCATGTTTGTGCATGAATTCCTGAAAACTGAGCAAAGGTGGAGAATTATTAAGATAGCACTGAAAGCAAAGTTAATGGGTTGAAAAATGAAAAATAACGAACGATACATGTTACCTTGTCTTCAATGTTTGGGCTTACATGTATTTGGAATTTCAGTAAATAGCATTGTTTTTTGGCCCTTCTTTTTTATTTTTTACACTCTTATTTTTTTTAAAATGTTTTTAATTATGCTTTTGAAAACTAAATTCTGAAAGTTTAAAAGTTGATTTCTAAAATTTTGATTTCAAAAAGTTGTATATTATAATTCTAGAATTATATTTTTAGAAGTCTGTTTTACTTTTGAAAATTAAATTCTAGAATGCAAAAAATTGGTTTTTAGAAACTTAATTTTAGAAGCTTATAACTTATAATTTCAAAATTATAAAAAATTTATTTTCAAAAACTTAATTTGTAAACTACAATTTCAAAATTATGTTTTTGAAAGTCTAGTTTCCTTTTTGGAAAATAAAATTTCAAAAATTGTAAAAAATAAATTTCAGAAAATTGTAAATTATAATTATAATTGACAAGCTTCTTTCTTTTTTTTCAAAAACCAAATATAATTTACAAACTTTCATAATTTAAATTTTTAAAGAAAAAATTTACAATTTTAAAACTTAAATTTTAAAGTTACTAAAAATTCAATGAAACACTAAACCAGAGACACAGGTATGATGGAAAAAAAAAAGGATTAATAAAAACAGTGCATGAACGATTAACACAAACATAATCACAATCACTTTAAAAGGTGATTTAATGACTTAAAAGCTACATTGTAATGTTGCTGTGAAACAATGAAATTGTATATGTTGAATATTTTGATTGTAAAAAAGACACCCAACCTTCAAGATTGTAACACACCCCTCAGTTTTGATTGTAACACATTTCTATTTTGAACTTGTAACTTCAATAATGAAGCAGTTCTCTACTCTGGAATTGACCAAAGCTTGGTGGTCGTTTTCCTCTTTCATTTTCGTCATGTCATTTTTAACTGTAAATTAGGGAGTGTTGTTGGGTTGAAAAAAGAAACACAAACACCACCCTCTCGTCAACTTGATGCCATTATCCAAATGGATAAAGAATAAAGAAAATTAAACTATTCAATTTTGAGAAAAGGTTATTATAATTATATCTTGTTTATACTTTTAATTATTAAAACAACATAAATTTGTAATTTTAAAATCAAATTTGTTTATAATGTATAAAGTTTAAAGTGTTGGATAATGATTTTGTTTGTCAATAATACAAAACTCTATCTATTTGCCACATCATCATATATTGCACTAATTTATTAATTTTTCTTTAAATTCTTTCTCTTCCTCAAATTTCTTATCCCAACATCAGTAACCTTTTGTTTAGGTTTTCTTAATTGTTTAATTAATGCTTAACATCGTTTTTATTTCTTTTAAACTACCTTTAATTATTTGAATTGTTTTACATCAACCTTTTTCCACCTCCAAGAATGATAGAACAAACACCAAGAACGAATGATGTCTTTGGTTTTGGCCTATCTTTATCCATCATGATTTTTATTACGAGCCAAATAAAATTTTATCAAATATGCACATAATTATTTTAATAGAAAAGGATGCACAAAATTATACCAAATAGATAAAAGAATTTCACTTTCTAGCCAAATAAAATTTACAATTATTAAGTTTCTCTGTGTGGAGATTGACATCTAGCTGTATATTAACTCCCAATTATAAAGATCATTGTTATTCAATTTTCTCATGTATCATCATGAGTACTCACTCACTTTCTCATATATCATTATACAAGCTTGAAACCTTAAGGCACTTGTCTTTTCCTTAGAAAACTTGAAGCATTTTGTCACGCCTAATAGACAGTAATGGCCAACCAGGCCACGTATGTCATGCTTGAAGATCTTGGAGAAAATCAAGTATTCCAGTGGCATATTGGGTTTATACCTATTTAGTTGACAATTTTTGAAGTTGAACTAACCAGAACTCTTGTAAAGTCAAATCATAGCATGTATATTTTTCTTTTTTACTTTTTTTTTTTGCTTTATCCCGGTGACTATACAATGAATTTGTGTTATGGTAGTGTGAAAAAAAAAATTCAGGAACAACAAAAGGCTATATAGAAAGTGACCACTAATTATGTCACCTTTTATCTTAGGCACGAGTGGATCACTTTATTAGCTTCTTTTCCTATAACTCTTTGGGAAAAACAGGGAAAAAAAAACATCTTAAGGCTTATCTATACATAATTAAGTTCCCCAATTACACAAGCTAGTAGAAAAGAATATTAAAATACTCTACTTGATGCCTAGAGTAGGTGAAGAAGCACCAATTACCAAATCCCATGGTTAAACTGCAGAAAGACATCCTTACCTTTTTTTATATATAAAAATGATATTTTAAACCCTACAATATTTAATGATCTTCACACTTGTGTGAAGAAATATATATAAGAATCTATGTTTTTATTTTATTACCTACAAAGTAAATGATGTAAAAATTATGCAAGTCTTTTTTTTTCTAAATACCCTTATGAAGATTACATGTAGGTGAAAATTCTTCATTTACCATAATTTCACGATTGTCTTTATTTGCCATACTTCTCTGGAACTATTTATAGTCCCATTTACTTACCACTTAAACCTGTGTGTATTTGTTGTTCATTTATTTCTTCCTTCATTTCCCAATTCCTATACTTATACCCTGCAAAACTTGAGCCTTTCTTAATTTTTCTTCTCCATTCCTTTGTATGGAATTAGGCTCCCAAAGCATACCCTTTGGGCCATTTTATCTGGTGTGTGGTTCTTTATAATGAAGCTCATACTGGTCACACATTCTGCAATGGATTCCATTTGCATGTGCCATTTTATTCTGTTATTGACCATAGTGTGTACTTTTGTTGTTGCAACTCTAGGAGACAATACAACAGATTCCTACTGGCTTCTAAGAATTAAATCAGAATTGGTCAATCCATTTGGAGCCATGAGCAACTGGTCTCCAACAACTCATATTTGTAGCTGGAATGGACTGACATGTGCAAATGATCAGACACATATTATAGGCCTTAATTTGTCTGGTTCAGGAATATCAGGTTCCATTTCAGTTGAGTTTAGTTACCTCATTTCTCTTCAAACACTTGATTTGTCTTCAAATTCCATCACAGGTTCCATCCCTTCTGAAATTGGACAGCTTCAAAATCTAAGAATATTGCTACTGTACTCAAATTATCTCTCTGGTAACATTCCTGCAGAGATAGGTAATTTGAACAAGTTGCAAGTTCTTAGATTAGGAGACAACATGTTGACAGGTGAAATCACACCTAGTATTGGCAACTTGGGTGAGTTGACAGTGTTAGGTCTTGCAAATTGCAACTTGAATGGAAGCATACCTGTGGAGATGGGTAACTTGAAGCATCTAACATCTCTTGATTTACAAGTGAACAGTATCAGTGGCCTCATACCTGAAGAGATTCAAGGTTGTGAAGAGCTCCAAAATTTTGCCGCATCAAACAACATGCTTGAAGGAGAGATACCCTTCTCTATTGGATCTCTCAGATCATTAAGAATTCTAAACCTGGCCAATAATAGTCTTTCTGGATCAATTCCTACTTCTTTGAGTGATCTATCCAACTTGACATACCTGAATTTGCTTGGAAATAAATTAAATGGTGAAATTCCTTCAGATATTAACAATTTGAGCCAGTTACAGAAGCTTGACATGTCCAAAAACAACCTTTCTGGGTCACTGACCCTCCTTAATACCAAATTACTCAATCTTGAAACTCTAGTTCTGTCTGATAATGCTTTAACTGGTGGTATTCCATGTAACTTCTGCCTCACGGGTTCAAAGCTTCAGCAACTGTTCTTGGCTAGGAATAAGCTTTCTGGAAAATTCCCCTTGGAGCTACTCAACTGCTCCTCAATCCAACAGGTGGACCTTTCTGACAACATCTTTGAAGGTGAACTTCCATCCAACCTTGACAAACTTCAGAACCTAACAGATCTTGTGCTCAACAACAACAGCTTCGTTGGATCTATACCTCCAGAAATTGGAAATATAAGTAGCTTAAAAAGCCTTTTCTTGTTTGGTAACTTCTTCACAGGAAAAATCCCAGTGGAGATTGGAAGGCTTAAGAGGTTGAATACCATTTACCTCTATGATAACCAGATGTGTGGACCTATACCAAGAGAGTTAACAAACTGCACAAGATTAACTGAAATTGACTTCTTTGGAAACCATTTTTCTGGCCCCATTCCAGAGACTATAGGTAAGTTAAAGGACTTAACTGTTCTCCATTTAAGGCAGAATGACTTGTCAGGTCCAATCCCACCAAGCATGGGCTACTGTAAAAGGCTTCAGTTATTGGCATTAGCAGATAACAAGTTGTCAGGTTCAATACCACCCACATTTAGTTACCTTTCAGAAATTAGTACCATTACCCTTTACAACAACTCTTTTGAAGGACCTTTACCTGATTCTCTTTCTCTTCTCAGAAACCTTAAAATCATAAACTTTTCCAATAACAAGTTCAGTGGAAGTATCTTCCCTCTAACTGGTTCAAATTCTCTTACTGTTTTGGACTTAACAAACAACACCTTCTCAGGTCCTATCCCTTCTATTCTAGCCAGCTCCAGAGATCTCATTCGTCTCAGACTTGCACACAACTATCTCACAGGAACCATTCCTTCTGGGCTTGGCCATCTCGCTGAGCTAAACTTCCTTGATTTATCATTCAACAACTTGACAGGAAATGTGCCACCTCAACTCTCTCAGTGCAAGAAAATTGAACACCTTCTGCTGAATAATAACAGATTGAGTGGAGAAATGTCTTCATGGTTGGGAAGCTTGCAAGAACTTGGAGAGCTAGATCTCTCATTCAACAACTTCCATGGAAAGGTTCCTTCTGAGCTTGGTGGCTGCTCAAAATTGCTTAAGCTTTCTCTCCATCACAACAATCTCTCAGGTGAAATCCCACAAGAGATAGGAAATCTCACATCTCTCAATGTCTTCAACTTGCAAAGGAATAGTCTATCTGGCCTCATTCCATCAACAATTCAGCAATGCACTAAGCTTTATGAGTTAAGGCTCTCAGAGAACTTCCTCACAGGAACTATACCAATTGAGCTAGGGGTGGTCACTGAGTTGCAAGTGATATTGGACTTGAGTAGAAACCTCTTATCTGGTGAGATTCCATCATCTCTTGGAAATCTCATGAAGCTAGAAAGACTTGATCTTTCTTTTAATCAACTTCAAGGAGAAGTTCCTCCTTCACTTGGTCAACTGACAAGCCTGCATGTGCTAAATCTCTCAAATAACCATCTTCATGGCTTCATTCCTTCAACCTTTTCAGGGTTCCCACTAAGCTCATTCCTTAATAATGACCATTTATGTGGCCTGCCACTAGCATTTTGCTCAGAAGCTATGAGGAAAGAGAAAATGCAGCTTTCAAATACACAAGTGGCAGCAATCATAGCTGCTATTGTTCTTACTTCTACTCTGATATGCTTAGTAATGTTCTATATAATGTTGAGAATCTGGTGCAACTGGATAAAGGTAGCTGTTTCAAGTGAAGATGATGGCATGCTTGAGCAGAAGCCAAGAAAGGGAGAGTACTGGAATGTGAATTCCTCTGGGTTGTTTCCTTCACCAGAGAAGCAGAATATAGTAACAACTTGCATTTATAATCTTAAAATTGATGCAGAAGCCATGGAAAATAGCTTGGTCTGATAAAACTTATTTGTATGTGTATTTTTGTTTTTCTTGATTCTCATATAGCATCTCTTGTTTCGTTAGAACGATGTAATTTGTGGCTATATACTGCAGTTTCTGGAATGTACAGCACCAGTCATGCATGATTTCAGTAGTTGCTGTTACAAACGTGACATCACATATGTTTACAGGTTATAGTAATAAAATAATCAATTGATCTAAATTAATCAAGTAGTTTCTTTCTTTATTAAGTTTATGAAATAACGGGTTGATAAAGACTGTTTGTTAAGACTTTTAAGCTAGTTTCTAGCTCACAAATTTGTGTGACCAGATTAGACCCCATTTACTAGAAACTTATTTTAGTAACTTACAGTGTTTTGGTAATATTTTTTGAACGCTGCTTCCCGAAAGATTTGAGGTTATAAGCGTTTCTTTTTTTTTTTCCATTTAATCTTTGTTATCTAATCATAATTCCTTCTTTTACATTTTTTATATCATTTATTTATCAATTAATTTAATAATTAATTCTACTAAACATTATTAGTTCAATCAGTTAATTTATTAATTTTTAGCTTCTAACTTTTCAAGTTTCAGTTAACTTATTCATTAACGTTACCAAAATCATCTAAACTAAACTATTCTATGTATCCATGGACACACCACTTTGGATGCTATCCAATCCACACAATATGAGAAACTACTATTGACCAAAGGTTATATCTTGTCGCTATGTTGTCCAATAGAGCCTTCCATGCAAGCAACCACCTTGGAAGCCAAAGAAATTTGCATGGCCAAAAACTTGTTGAAGAAAACTCTGTCAATTCATTTAGCAAGAGTTGGTTGGTAGGCTGACCCCATTCTTGTTTTTTCCACCACAAGTTGTCACTCCCAAAATTTCCTTCTCTGTTTCAATTTCCACTCCCAAAGTTCCCAACTACCATTTTTCTTCTGTTCACCCACCTGAGTCTCAAGTAACAGTGAGTTACTAATTCGCTACTCACCCATCATGCCAAAATGAAATCAGAATTCTATTTGCGTAATATTTTATAAAAAAGAATAGAATTTGAGTAATATTGAGAAATTTTTATACTATTATTTAATTATAAATTAGGTTAATTTATTTATTAGTTATTTAACTTTTAATTTAATTTAATTTTAATCTTTTATATATTTTTTCCTTTCATGTATGTCTTTTATCTTTAAAAATATTTTAAGTTAGTATTTTTAAGGAGATAATTCTTAATAATAATTTTTTAATTTAACATGATTATGAATATTTTAATCTCATTTATTAAGTTGTAACATGGTCTAATTATATAATACTAGTACTTATTTATTTTAAATTAGTTGTATCTATTGAAAAAAAATCTTAATTGAATTTGAATGATCTAAATATTTTAATTTTGAATTTTTAATATGTTTTACTTATTTGTACTGTTTTAATGATATCTTGAGTTATAAATTACTTTTGTATAATTTTTATTTCATTAGAAAGCTTTTTTCAAGAGCTTTAATTTGATGAGTAATTTTATAAAAAAATGGATTCTATAGTTTTAGAGATATTTTTTGCCCAAGTTATACCACTTCAGTTAAGCAAGAAAATTATTAGATTACAATTTTATTAAATCTAATAAAATTCATTAAGAATCAATTACATTTTAAATTTGTATTAATTAGAAGAGATATAATTAAAATTATTATAATTAACTTAGTTTCTCTCTTTTATAATGCCTTTTGAATTATGTTTTGTATGAGAACTAAGTCATGGATCATTTTTTATAGTGAGCCTAAATATGAATGGATTTTACATTTTATCATTTTTCTTTTTTTACGTGGTCCACTCATGATCGATATACACTTAGAATTTGACTTAAACCTTTTTCAAGTCACTTTATATATATATATATATATATATATATATATATATATATATTCTTATTTTTCTATTTTTTTTTATACTTTACTATTTTTTTGGTTGTATATATTTTTCTATGGGATATATTTTCATACTTGTTTACACTTATTTCTCATTATTTCTTTAATCTCTTTAGTTCTTAGCTAAAATTATTTTTCTTTATCCATTACCTAAGTCCCTATTACATAAAAGTCTTTTTAATCTTTACATCTACATGTTCTAAGGGGAGAAATTTAAAGACTTATCAAGTTTATGGTAAGTTCCTATTTTCATAACGTGTTTTTGAGTGTAAACACAAGCTTAAATACTCGAGAATCATAATGTATATTATGAGAAATTTCTACCACATTTTCTTCATAATTTTGTTTAATTATGATTATTATTTACTTACGTGTTTTAGAATAAATTTTTGATTGTCTTGATTTCTTAACACTTTGAATGTATAATTTTCTTCTTTTGCTCATATTTGTATATTTTTAGGATCTATTAGAAAGTTTGTAAATATAATTTTTCTGCATTTTCTTTTGCATGCATATAGGTTTCCTTTCCATATTTATCTTTTTCTTGGAAGTCATGAGCTTAAGTGTGAAATTTGATGAATTGTATTTTAATCATATTTATTAAGTTGTAATGTGACCTAATTACATTATACTAATTTTAATTGCTTTAAATTGATTGCATTTATTAAGAAGATTTAAATTAAATTTAAATGATGCAAAATATTCTAATTTTGTATTTTTAACAAATTTGACCTATGCTGACTGTTTTTGACAATATATTTCTTGAGGTACAAGTCAATTTTCAAGGTGATTCTTGTATCATTAGAAATTCTTTTTTAATTCTTCAATTTAATGATAATTTTGTAGAAATCAGATTATGAGATGAGAGATATTACCTATGCAAGTTAAACCATTATAGCTACTCGCAAAAATCATCAGGTTATAATTTTATTTGGTCTAATTAAATTTATTAAAAGTCCATTGTATTTTAAATTTGTATTAATTAAAAGAGAAGTAATTAAGATTATTATAAATAGTATAGTTTTTATTTCCTTTAGGACTTATATTTCTAGAATTGGAATTTGAATTTAAAAATTAGTTTCCATTTGTGTTCTTTTTGTTTATATTCTCCTTGTATGTTTTGTTTTTCGGTGTTCAAGGAACTGAATATGGAAAGCTAAAGCACTTTGAATATCGATTCCCTAATTCAATTTTGATAATTGAAATTTGAGATTTTGTTATTAATTGAATTTGAATTTCTTTTAATAGGTTTTGTATAATTTCTTTAATGTGTATACTTTATAGTCTTAAAATTTCATTCTTTAATACATAATTAATAAGAACTTCTAATCACAATAATGTTTAATTCCGTAAATTAAAATTAGGATTAAGAATCATATTTAGGTTGTTATAACTTCTTGTATGAATTTGAATAGAGTTTGTTAGTGATAATTGAATTAGGATTTAAAAATATTTTATTGACTAACTTAAATTCAATAAATATCATGTGTTACTTATAGTAGGAATTTTCTATAATTCAATTACTATTTAATTGATCATTTTATATAAAACTAAGGGAAAATTTTAATTTTGCTTTAACCGAATCTTTTTATGTTACTTCATCACTTTTAAAAGGAGTAATTTAATCTCTACAGTATATCCAAAAAATAAGCTTTTGTAGCACAATCTTAAATAACAATTAGTAAAAACTACTTTGTATAAGAGATTAAGAGAGCAGTTAGTGCTCAACCACTCCCCAATTTAACTTTTTTAGAGCAGTTCCAGATAAATTGCTCTCTAATGTACACTTTTGAGAGCGGTTGCAAATACAAAAGAACCGCTCTCTAATATACACTTATCAGAGCGATTCAGTTGGAACTGCTCTCTTACCTTAAATTGGAGAGCGGTTAAGAAGTAACTGCTCTCAGAACATCTAAATTTTAGAGAGCGATTTTAAATGAACCGCTCTCTTATATATACTTATAAGAGCGGTTCATTTGTAACCGCTCTCTTAAGTTAGCATGGAGAGTGGTTGTTAAACAACTGCTCTCAGAAGATTTATATTTCAGAGAGCGGTTGACATGTGGAACTGCTCTCTTAAAGATTATAAAGCGGTTGACACATGAAACTGCTATAAGAAGTGTAGATTAGAGAGCGGTTAAATCTTAACCGCTCTCGAAAGTTGATTTTTAAAAGTAACCCTAAACCCCTAAATCTCGTCATCACTGTCCTCGCGCCCATTCTGTACTTCTAAATTTCACTGTGTTCCCAATGTTTGCTGAAGTATTTGCATCATAGAAAAATCACCGTTGATATTACATTGGCACTCATAAGGTATTTTCTTCATTGTTTTTGTGTTTTATGAGGCAATGTATGTACTTTTACACTGCAATTTTCTCTCTATGTTGACTGGCACGCATTTTTTTTTTTAGGTTAGTAGTTACAAAAACGTCCCCTCCTCCATCCTTGGTTTCAGGTGAACTGTTACCAAATTTGTGCCACAACATTATTTTGAGGTTAGTGAGATTGTATCTTTTATTTGTGTTTTTTGAATACTACTGTTGCCTTACAGATAGCTTGAAATTTGTTTTTAAGTTAGTAAAAGTCTAATTCAAGCCATGTGGAACTTTAGGTTAGTTAACCTGTGATATTGTTGGTTTAGTTTAGGGTTTAGGAATTTTTGAACATGATATGACACTGATTTTTTGTAATGCAGCCTGTAACACCTTAATTCAAATTTTGAAATAAATAAATTTCATAAAATTGAGAATAATAAAATTTTCATTCAAACGATTCCCAATACATAGTTCAATGAAGTAATTCAAAATAAAGATGAATTACAATTTATATCAAATCATTGCTATAGGAATAGTTTAATTACATCAAATTTTTCAAAGAAAAAAAAACTTTCTAAGCTCTATAACAGTTTCATCCATCCCATCACTGAACCCGGTGTTGATCATTTTAGTTACCTAAAAAATAAATGTAAGGGTGAGTACTCTACACTGTCACACACACATAAACAAGCATAGAGTCTCACCTTGCTCATTCCACATATTTTCTAACATAAATTAAATCATGCATCAACAAGTACAAGATAATAA